TCCATTGGTTACCTGTTGTCGTTCAGTTATTTTGGAATATTTCCGCAGATGTTCAGCTTCCTTTTTACCAAACCGGTGTTGTCCTTCCAACGAAAAGAGGAAAGTAAGTTTGAGGTAAAAATTAGAAACCGGTCGCCGTTAATAGATGACACTTCAACTGTTATAGCTCTTTTTTGAAATTAATAAATTCAATCGAATACAACTGAAATATGAAAATAAAATATTGAGTAGGTGAAGTTTTGGAAAGTTTCTGATAACATTCGAAAATTACCTAACCCGATCCAAAACCGATCACCTCGAGTTACCCACAATGCTTGCTCCGTTTAATTGCAAACATTAATCCGCTTTTATTTTTGGCGCATCGCGATCCCCCCGTATTAATTGCAAATCAAAGCAGATACCCTTGAACCGTGAAACGATTTCCTTTCTGTGGACAAAGGAAACCGAGAACTTCTTACGAATTCGTTTCGCTTTCAGTTTTTGTCTTCTTCGTTTGAAGGAAGAAATCGTCGGTGACTATCTTCAAGGCTGAATCTTCCTCAAATCAGTCCATCCTAAATTTCGATGTTGTTTCTAATGCTGTTTCTATCGAATGTGCAAAATATCTAAGCAATTTAGGAACGAATACACTTCCTTCATTTTTGGAACAAAAATGTACTAAAGAAGGCTGTATTTAAGAAATAAAAAACGTTCCAAAAAATGACAGACCAAGAATCTTTAATTTTTCCAGTTCCTAACTTCTCAATAAATATTATTTTCATCCGAAAAAGCTGATTACTCTATTTCTGTTACTTTCATCCGATTCGGTAGCTTCGTATAATCGATCAATTAATTTTTATTTCTCGCACGAATATTACGTCGCCTACTGATCTGCTACTAATCTTTTCCTGTCACCTTTTCCGAGCTTTGTTCCGTACGTGGAACTCGTAAGTTACTTCAATAAAGTCCGATAAAGTCCACGGCCAAGAATACTCGAAGAAGAAAGGATCGACTATTCCGCGTGGCTCAAGGAAAAGGCATAAAGGTCGGAGAACGCGATTAACTATTCTATTTATAGGATGGATATCTCGGGGATCGCATAAATAAGAGACAAGATGTATATATTTTTTCTGTATAATTCACCAGACAATGTTTATTCAGACGACCTCACAACTCCCAAGCGTACAAAATGTTCGTGCTCACTGGGCAATATGCGGGGCTGCGTGTTTTTTTACGTATTTTTTTTGTTTTATTCCTTACATTCCTTATTTATTTTATTTCTGCCTTATTTCGTTATCCGTTGCAATGTAATAGAGTACACTTTCGGTATTTTGCTTTAACTCTCGTCGATATTTATTTCTCGCGATTTTTTCCATTCATCTCTTTTCGTTTACTTTTTTTTTCGTCTGCATGTTTCTCCATTGTTCCACCAGAAACAACAGCTGCTTGTATCCTCCTTCTTAATGGATAGAGAAATATATCATACTTTATGTATCGTTTACTATAATAATCATTATGTGTAGTTTATGCATAACAAGTATTACGAATATCAACGCTAGTTCGCTTCGGGGGTGGGTGGGGGGTTTCTGGGTGGATAATCGGAGTGGTCTGCTGGGAGGGCGGGATGCTGGGAGGGGTTGATCGTGGACGGGGCTTGTGTGTCGGAGGAATAATAGTTTCTTTTTCTTTTCTTCACTCCTCAGGAGTCGATCGAAAAACAAAAGCAAGAAAAGTTCAAACGAAACAGGAAAAAACTTCGGTCTCGAATCATATTAATGTGTGTATGCGTGTATGTGAATGTTCTCCTTTTCTTTCGTTTTGGAAACGGTTATAGGGAAAATTACGAGGCACATGTATACGTATACATATATAATAATATACATATATAAATATACACATCTCCGCGTGTATATGTGCTTGCGTGTGTATTATATGCGTACATAAGGGGTGGTTCTCGATCGGTTACGGAGCTGATTGGGAGGACTCGGCGTACACGTGCCACAAACTTTCGCGAACATCACTTGGGGTGAGGGGTTAGCTAAGGAACGGCGAAAGGAACGCAAAAGGAGGTTTGTTCCAATATTCGAACGGTACAGGGGAGGGTTTCCCCGTTTCAGGGGGTGGAGTCGGGCAGCAATAGAAGGATTTCTTCTTCCTACGTGTTCATTCGGGGCGGTGCGATCGAAATGAGTCGCGCGGTTAAAGTGGAGAACGGTGATACACAGAGCGTTAAAGGGAATGACTTTGTTTCCTCAAGTACAATAAATATACAGAGCGTGTTGTGTGTGTGTTCATTTTCATTTCCACTACGACGAACTTCGTCCAGGGGTATTCTCTCTCGCGTACGCGTACGTATGCGCGTGCGCGCGCGCACGTGCTGTCTCGTGTGCGCGTGTCACGTATACGTATACGTATACGTTCGGGAGTTTTTTTGTCGACGGAGCTGCGCGCTCGAAAAGTAGCGAGACATAAACGGGGGTATTTCGCGTTTCATTTCTTTTTTTTGCGTTTTCTTTACTGCCCATCGAGCAATTTACGGGATTTTTCTGCATTCTACGTTCGCGGTTTTCATTGTTCTAACTGTTTTCATTTTCTTTTCCGATTCAATACTCCCCTGCCCTAACGATTTTATATTTTGTCTTCCATCGATCGGATTCTCGGCTCGCTGGTTTCCGTGACGCTAATACCACGCGTGTATTCTCACTTTTCCTGCTGTTTTTGTTCTTTAACGTTTCTCACTTTATGCATTCGCGGTTTCCGTGTCCCTTGTGTACGTGTACGGTTTGTATCGTTTCATATATTCTTTTCTCCTATTTTGTATTCGCTTTGTTTCATTTTGCCCTATTCGCGACGACGATGCGTGTGTGTGTTTGAAATTCGGTTTGTTACTCGACAGTTTTAGCTCGTTTTCCTGCGTTTCTCTGCTTTATTATCATCCGGGGCAAAAAGGGGGTGGCGGGGCGAGCGTCTCAATAACACATCGGCGGCGGCCCGCCGCGTTCAATTCTTTTCCTTTGTCTCTTCGCTGATCTCTACTCATTCTCTCGCATAC